TTATCTTCTGATTATTCATCGTTGTGCAAAAATGTAAATGACTATACAAACACCGCCATTGCATAACGACTTTCATTGGAGTGAGCTCATGAGATCATCATTCCATATAATACTTGTTTGATAATCGCACGTAACAACGGCAAAGTCGGCTCTCTGCTGATCCTATAATTATTTTATGGACGTAACGTACGAGTAGATCGACTTTAATCAACACATCCGTTCGTCTTTCAAGTGCTTTTAAATACAATTTATTGATTATAATGTGCACAAACCATTAAAAAAGAACGACGCTATTTATAGGACAGTTTTTAATTCTGAATGTAGGCAATGTTAAGGGGGAAAAGGAAATGTTAACTTAGTCAGCTGATTTTATTTATCAGAAGAGTCGATTGTGGCCAACATGAATGTCTTGTGGTTTCCTTTCATTTGTACTGATTACGAACACGGAAGTAACTTGGAATTAACTTAAAAAGTCCATTAGTATATTTCCTGTTTTAGAAGTTAAAAACAAGAACCGTTTTTACGGTCACTGTGCGGATTGTTATTCAAAAATATATGAACCGTAAATGTAGTTGTCTAGGTATAGCAACAATAGGAGATGATGTGTTTCTCGAGATCGACCTATTTATTATTTACAATTGCAAATGAATGCGCATAAAAAAGTAGTGTGAGATAATAAATCCATTTACGCATTTCTCCAGTGATGTTAGGTAATAAATCCTTTCGTTAACTGCAATTAGTAGATGATATTAATTGTTTCCATCTGGTATAACCTGAAATTACAGTTACAAATAACTATGATTTATTATCAAATGTACCGATTTTCTCAATCAAGAGATCAAGACCAAAATTCAAGGTGTATAAACATAGGCCAAGCTTGAAGCCATATGGTTTATGGTTGGTTCGTTTTGGAGGAGAAAGGAATAGACACGCACGCCATCAATAAAGCCTTCAGATGCTATGAATTCATTTATAAGGACATCAATGAAAGCATTTGTGCGTTTTCCTGTTTGTAAGTCGACTCTGTATTAAAAATACTGTAACTCTTGTATATGTACCTCTATAATACATTATTGAGTTCTTGTTTGTATAATCTAAGATTGAGTTATTAACGAATTAAAATGGTGGTTAGGCTACTTACTTGCCTTTTGGAAAATTATTACCATCAAAGTCAGCCACGCCACGATCAAATATCATTGTATGCGTAGTATCATCATTGAATTTATAACTTAAATTCAATGGTATTATGTTTTTCGTACTTCCGAGACTAAAGTGACAACTTCACTCCATTATGACAAGTACTGAAGTGTCACTTTTTGTCCCGCCGGGATTAAATTTTGACGAAAATCCCGGAAGGATGAAATTACTAACAAGGCAATTTCAGTAGGTTGGTCCACATTTCGTATGCGGCACTACTTCTTAAACGCATCGTACTGCTGCTCATATAGTTTTTTGGATTTCGGTGGTACCTACTTTGGCTGCTTTTTATCAATATCAAATACACCTTTGTCACCCACCACCAAAATTATGACACTAGTAATGACAGTTTCCAAATTATTTTTGCTACCATAGCCACAGTGTCGTACCAACGCAACGTTCCTATGGTAACTGGTTAATCAGCGATTTTTTGAAAGAACGCGTTCTCTAACTCCATACATATTAAGTGTTTCAGTTTCGGAAGTACGAAAAATATCGTATATACCTTGCGACTGAAGTAGTGGTCTTAACCCCTCAGGTAAATTATGGCCCTCCCTTCGGTCGGGCCATAAACTTTACCTTCGGGATTAAAAGTACTACTTCAGTCCCGCGGTATATAATATACTATTATTTTCAATAATAATATATATTTCATGGCTGACTTTGATAGTAATAATTTTTCAAATGGCATACACACCATTTTGTTTAATAACTTAGCAATGGTTTAAGCTAGAGGTATCATGTGGCATAATTTTGAATTTGCAAAAATATGGGTAATGAAAGCTAATATTGTTTAGCTGCAGAGATGCGAATGGTGAAAAAAATCTTTAAAATGGGCGTAAGTAATACGGAAATTGTGTTTCATGATTAACACTTAGCAGATACTTGTCGTGCCTTCTTGGTGCCTTCGGCCTTTTATGTGCTCTACTCTCTACACCGTTTTTGGATAGTCTGTCGAGACCAAACGAGATGAAACGAGACTGAACCAGGTCGAGACGAGACTTTGGCTTGGTCTCCTCTCGCGGCAACTGTGAAAATATATATTATTTTTTTGCACCCCTAGCTATATGGCGCCACTGTGTTTTTGGAGATACATTAAGACGACTCGTTGTAACTCTTACAACTTTTACATTTGATGTATCTCTATTTGCGCCCTGGGGTAATAAATAACACAAATATCCATTGGGTAATTTATAATGAATATCTCCGTACCAGATGACCCAATAAGACTGTTCCTAGGTCATATCTCGGGAACCGCTCGTCGTATGACTTAGGAGTAAAAAAATGATTGGGTAAATCCGGGGGTAAATCGGTTATGAAGAATCGCTGGAAAATATCTTCAAGTTCTAAAAATGACCACCAGAGGGCGTAACTGCCATCTTAAATTTTAAAATGGCATTTTCTTTAAATTTCGCCTCGAATTTCGCATAATAAACTAAACATTATTTTTTCACATTTTTAAAGAGAACCAGTTTATCTGTCATTTTCGTAAAAACAAAAACTCAGTTATTTCAAAAACAAAGATGGTGTGGGGCGTACAATTGTTTTTGCAATAACCTGCTGTAACTTCTCAACCGTTTGACCGATTGTAACAAATTTGGTATCGTTGAAAACAGCAATCCTTGGGCAACCAGAAACAAATATAGTTAATTTAGTTGAATCCTTCTCCGCCAGGGAGCTAGTTTTGACAGTATGATCCAGAATCCTAAAAAAATATAAAAAAATCAGATGGAATGATATGACTTTCTTCATGAAAAAGTAGCCATATAGCATTCAAAGAGGCCAGTTTTTCAAAATCTCGTTCCTAACCTCAAAAATGAGATTAATTAATTAATAAAAATGCTTAAATTGTATCTTATTTGAGGTATTTCCGGTATTTGTCGATGGCGCGAAAGATTGTTTGGAAAAGGACCCTACACTTTTAGGTAGGCCTTGGAAAATTAAACAAATGAAACACGATGCATTATAAAATAATAACAGTCTTAATTTGTAAATTATTCTGCTGTGTTTACGCATTCAGAAAGTGCAGTTTTTTGAATTTGTAATCTTTTCTAAAATGCCGATTTCTAACCAAGAAGCATTTAATATGCTGGTGATATATTTTGAGTATTTTCAAAATGCGACCATCGCTGCCCGCAACTTCTATTTTCGTTATCCGAATCGACCACGAACCATCTCCGCCAGCATATTAAATGCTTCTTGGTTAGAAATCGGTATTTTAGAAAAGATTACTAATTCAAAAAACTGCACTTTCGCAATGTAAACACAGCACAATAATTTACAAATTACGGCTGCTATTATTTTATAATGCATCGTGTTTTATTGGTTTAATTTTCCAAGGCCTACCTAAAAGTGTAGGGTGCTTTTTTTTCGCGCCATCGACAAACGGAAATACCCATGGGAAATACGTAAAAAGTAAATTTAAGATACAATTTAAGCATTTTTATTAATTAATTAATATCATTTTCCCAATATTTGAGGTTAGGAACGAGATTTTGAAAAACGGTTTTCACTGGCCGCTTTGGATGTTATTTGGCTACTTTTGTATAAAGAAAAAGTCATATCATTCCATTTGATTTTTTTGATTTTTTTAGGATTTTGGGTCATAGTGTCAAAATTAGCCCCCCTGGCGGAGAAGGATTCAATTAAATTAACTATATTTTGGTTGATTCTCATTGCCCAAGGAATGCTCTTTTCAACCATACCAAATTTGTTAAAATCGGTCAAACGGTTAAGTTACGCAGGTTATTGCAAAAACAATTGAACGCCCCACACCATCTTCGTTTGTGAAATAATTGAGTTTTTGTTTTTACGAAAATGATAGATAAACTGGCTCTCTTTAAAAATATTGTTAGTTTATTATGCGAAATTGAAAGAAAATGCAATTTTAAAATTTAAGATGGCAGTTACGCCCACTGTTGGTCATTTTTAGAACTTGAAAATATTCTCCAGCGATTCTTCATGACCGCTTTCCCCAATAATTTTTGTTACCCCTAAGCCATATGACGAACGGTTCTCGAGATATGGCCGAGGAGTCTTATTGGGTCACTCGGTACAATAAAACAAATTAGGGTGCGATGTTAATGTGGTTTTTTTATTTTCTCTGCTGCTACCATTGATGGTATTCTAATGAAAGGTTACCAAAAAAGAATCGAGTACCTACCGCGCCTCGACCCGGTTCCTTATCGAGATCAGAGGAGCGAGGTGAGGGTGGGGGTTAACATAGTTTTATCCTTCATGATATTTGAGTTCAATCAAAGCTTATTGACGCCAATTGGCAAAAACTTGTTACACTTCAATCATCACAAAACAACCTATGATGTATGTTTTTTCTTTACTTTTTTTCTAGAATCATCTTTCGGACCTAAGTTATTTGTGATAAAAATCGCAATATATCACTGCATTGGTGCATTGTTGAAGAGGGGGCGTGGTTAATAAGTCACATTTTTCCCTCGATTTTTCCTGATATTAGTTGTCGAAGCCTCTCCAGAATAACCGACCTACTCTGTGTTTATTATAAACAATACTTCTATTAATGTACAACTTTTCATCTTCTTGTACAGACTGTAAATACGAGTATAAAATAAGAAATAACCGCGCGCTACTTTTTTTTAGAACGTTATGATAACTGTTTGAATTGCAATTTCTTTTTCTATTCATCTCTTAATATTGTGTTACTGTTAATGATGGGGGACTAAAACTATTACTATTATAACGGTGTATTGAAAACGAACTATTATGTGAAATTGCTTAAAAAATAACATAAGTTTTTAATACTTTATTCAAGTTGTATTTTGTTTCAGAACTGCCAGAATAATTTGGATAAGTTAGCAAAAAGTAAGTACATAATATAATTAATTTTTTCCCTATCCGACATGCACGTGCATTCGATTCGGTCGTGGGTGTAATGATCTAGCACTTGTCGAGACATCTTTAAATTACACATTCATTGTATTCGACTGTAACATTATTTGGCAATTTTGTCGTCATGAATTCTTTGTGTTTCGGACAAATTATTTAGTTACACGCAAAATAGTTCGTTGAACTTTCTTTGCTTGTACGATTGAAGTACGAGCAGTTTTCAGGAATATAATAAGCTAGGTTGCACAATTGATGATGACTTGTGGCCGTACAGGTTATGAAATGACTTAGGTGTGTGAAATGGAATTGGTTTGTTGTTACTATGTGGACCGTTTTTAGTGATTTATCCTTATAATTATTGTTACATAATGATTATTATTATTATTAGGTTATTATAAGTACACTCCTTTCACTTGGTACGTTGTTTTTAATATTCTTGCCGAATAGAATGATTTTCATCATTTTTATCCAACGGTCATTCAATACATCCAAATACAGAAAGGATTTTTGAAATTTTAGCGCAAATGGTCCCCCCATACCTATACCTTTTCAGGAAATAAAAAATAAAAATATAATATTTCAAGATTTGTGCGCGACTTACAAACCCTCCCCAATTTCATATTTGAGTTCTGTGACATTCCTACTTCAGAAGACCGTGAATTCTCTGGTAGAAATTGACAAATAGACCCAGCAGAACGTTCATAAATTAATTAAAAACCCTTGGATGTGATTCGTTATCTTAATATGCAAAAACACTCCGCAACGACATATAACAAATTTCGTTTAGCTTTGAATTTTTCGCACCACGTTCACATCTCCCTGTTGTAGGAAATATTTAGCATAACCAAAAACCCAAGTTCCATACTTTCCCCTCGACTTTCCCTCTGCTATGGTTCCTGAGAAAAAGTTAAAGAAGAAAACTCAAATGTTGGAATTTTGGAGGGTTACCAATTTACTGACATACTTACGTAATTGATAACTTTTTAAATGGACTTACGTTGATAATTTAATTTTTGTCTCTCAGTTCGTATGTTATGAAGAGAAAGTATAACAAGGTATGGAAATGATTATTACAATGTTTATTTTCTGATAATATGCATAGGCATAGTAAAAAAAAGTTAACAAACCTGCAAGTGATTATAAACAAGTCAAAAGGTTTTCGCACTAAGGCGAGTAACTTCAGCGCATTTTCCATGAATTGATCAGTGCTTCCCAAAAGGCCATAACTATGTGAGCTATGTTTTTCGTTACTAGAGGCATCTATGGTTAAAATTTCAAAGAAATATCTTCATAAGTAAGGAAGTTAGCACTAACTGAGTATGCGCACAACTAATGGCAAAGCATCTGTGATTAATAAAAACGAGTTACCTTACGGTGTTTACTAATATATAAATTTTTTTTCCCCCAAATTATACATTATAATATAACTACCAAATAACCCAAAATAAACATCACACAAAACCACAGATTTCAAGTATCTATTCCCTGCATCACCCTTTCATCTGAAATACTTATAAGCATAATTGACGCAAGCCTGACGATGGTAAACACCGAAATCGATCGCAAATAGAAAACAAATAAAAATTTTGTTTATATACAGGGTGTTTTTTTGGGAGCTTTAGTTAAACGTTTCTGGGAAAGTAAAAAAGGTAGGTTTTTGAAAATTTGTACCTAGGGGTTACTCTGAAGGCCCAATCGATGTAAAATATTTTCAAAATGGTGGCACTTCCGGAAATACCGGAAGTGGCTAGTAAGTTCATTATTTTAAATGGAAACCCCTATTTTTTTATTGCATTTTTGGATTCTACGTGAAATTTCAGTTCTTTTGATACCCCCATATCAATATCTACAATTTATGGTTTTTCAGATATTTTGACTTTAAGGGAAAAAATGGTGGGTGCAGACGGTACCTTGAAAATTGATTACTTAAAAACGGTTGTAGTTATGGCAACCCATTTTTGCCAGTGCATAGAGAAAGAATAGGGCTTTCTTTTAGTGTACTTTAAAAAAAGTTAAGTTGCGCAAGACCGCACCTATGGAGATCCAAATTTAAGAAATTTCAAACAATAAAAAGTCAGTTTTTTTAAATGAAATGCCTATTTTCTTACTACTCAATTTGATAGAGAATCAAAATTGGCATATTTTGATATTACATGTTCCTATACCTATCTTTAACAATTTCTGACTTATTTCCATTTCATTGAATTGATAACATTTTTTTTAATTTTCTTTTTAGTTGTCGGCCATGATTTTATAACAATCGAATTTTAAACAAACCAAGGAAAGGATTCTTTGCTATCAATGATTCTAATCTAAATAATTAATTCATAAAAAAGTTAACACAGTGATCAGCTAAGTGGATAACAAACTTGTATGAAAATAAAATGAAATATTTTAAAATTCGCTTTTCAACACATGTTCAAAATGAGCGCCTTCGTGTTTCAAACACAATTCAATTCTTTTTCTTAACTGTTCTCCTGTAGAGTTTTGTATCACATGTGATTCAATAGTTTCTAGTGCATTTCTTACTCTTAAGATCATATCTTCTTTTGTTGTGGGAGGCCTGGCATAAACAGTGTCTTTTACATATCCCCACAAAAAGAAATCTAATGGGGAAAGGTCCGGGGAACGAGCAGGCCAAATATATGGCCCGCGGTTTCCGATCCAATTCCCTAGAAAAGTGGCATCTAAAAACTCGGAAATAATGCCTGCATTATGTGCAGGAGCACCATCTTGTTGGTAATACATAGCATCATATTCCTGTAGAGGCAGATCTTCTGTTGCAGGAACAACAATATTACGTAATATTTCCAAATAACGTTCTGCATTCAAATTTTCTTGATACACATGAAAACACAAAATCTTGTTTTTTTTTCAACGCACAAAACACATTAAAACTCCAACACTCTTGGAAGTGTACTTCTCGATTCAAAAAAGGATTTTGATCGCTCCAGTAATGTGAGTTATGACGATTAAACATGCCGTTTTTACTAAACTTGGCCTCGTCTGACCAAATAATGTTCCCCAAAAAATTATCATCCTCCTGATCCCTTAACATTAGCCATTCGCAAAACTCAATTCGTCTTGGGAGGTCCCCCGGTTGCATCGAATGCACATTATGGAATGAAAATGGACGATAATGGTAGTTTTTCAGGATTTTATGGATGCAACTAATATTTAATCCTAAAGCAATTTCCGCGTCTCTCAACGAATTAGTGGGGTACGCCGTGAAATATCCAAGCACGTTAGCAATATTATCCTCATTTTCAGCAATAGGTCTTACTCTAGGTATTTGTTTCGGGGGTACAAAACTTCCAAAATTCAAACAATTTCGTTCCAGTGTTCGAATGGTATGATCACTAGGACGTGGTCTGTCTGGATATCGCTCAATGAATGTACGGCAAGCACGTGCCGCGATTCTGTCCATTTCACCATAAATCACAACTAAATTCCAAAAATCTTCATTGGTGAAACCACTGCGAGCCATTTTTCGATTACTCAAACACTTATGTTAACTTATAACAGGTGACCGATTAGTGTCACTAGATTTGTTTAAAATTCGATTGTTATAAAATCATGGCCGACTACTAAAAAGAAAATTTAAAAAAAATGTTATCAATTCAATGAAATGGAAATAAGTCAGAAATTGTTAAAGATAGGTATAGGAACATGTAATATCAAAATATGCCAATTTTGATTCTCTATCAAATTGAGTAGTAAGAAAATAGGCATTTCATTTAAAAAAACTGACTTTTTATTGTTTGAAATTTCTTAAATTTGGATCTCCATAGGTGCGGTCTTGCGCAACTTAACTTTTTTTAAAGTACACTAAAAGAAAGCCCTATTCTTTCTCTATGCACTGGCAAAAATGGGTTGCCATAACTACAACCGTTTTTAAGTAATCAATTTTCAAGGTACCGTCTGCACCCACCATTTTTTCCCTTAAAGTCAAAATATCTGAAAAACCATAAATTGTAGATATTGATATGGGGGTATCAAAAGAACTGAAATTTCACGTAGAATCCAAAAATGCAATAAAAAAATAGGGGTTTCCATTTAAAATAATGAACTTACTAGCCACTTCCGGTATTTCCGGAAGTGCCACCATTTTGAAAATATTTTACATCGATTGGGCCTTCAGAGTAACCCCTAGGTACAAATTTTCAAAAACCTACCTTTTTTACTTTCCCAGAAACGTTTAACTAAAGCTCCCAAAAAAACACCCTGTATTATCAAACACCGTAAGGTAACTCGTTTTTATTACATCTAATATATACACAATGGAAAACTTCGTCAAACGCATCTGTGATTAGCTGATTACTATATGCGATATGTTTATCTTTACCATAAGTATCTGTGGTTAAAATTTTAACAAAATATATTAATAAATAAGAATGTTGATATAGCGCAGCCCGCGCATGCGCAGTTTAATCGTCAAGATTTTCCTTGGCTCAGGTGCCAGAGCTATACGCTACCGTATGCAAAAAGAATGAGCTAAATATCTTGAAAACTGTAAGAGTAGTTAAGGCCTCGGACAGACGGACGGAGAATAAAGTGGCTGCAATAGCGCACCCAACTTCATTGAAAAATGCGCTAAAAATGTATTTTCTATATTACTTCAGGAGACAAGATGTTAAAATTAAGTTGTTTGATTCTGTGTGCTGTGATATAACTGATATAAGCTACACAAAATTGCGCATCATTTTCGCAAAATACGTTACAATAACTCCCCCTCATAAAATATTTGGGCTAATATGATACGATTTGGTATGCTAACAAAACAAAGGTCAGTTTAAAAAAAATTCGGAAATTCCGAAGATATTCGCAAAAAAACGAAATTAACCATATACACTGTGTCCAAAATAAGGATGTCCATCATAACCATAGAAAGTACGACGATGGTTAAGTTAGGGAAAAGTTACGCAATTAACCAATAATCAAAAAATTATGATTACTCCCGAAGATATGCGAGAAAA